ACGCTTGGATGCCACGCGGCAGTGCATTCACGTCGAAGCCGGTGCTGATTGAAACGACCAGGTTAACGCTAGGATGCCACGCGGCTGTGCGTTCACGCCGATGCTGGTGCTGATTGAAAGGACCAGCCTGACGCTTGGATGCCATGCGCTCTTGCATTCACGTTGAAGCCGGTGCTGCGGCTGTGCATTCAGGAAACCGTTGCTGATTTAATCGTCCAGCTTGACGCTTGGATGCAACGCGGCTGTGCATTCACGTCGAAGCCGGGTGCTGATTGTTAACCGGCCAGGTTAACGCTTGGATGCCACGCGGCTGTGCGTTCACGTCGCAGCCGGAGCTGATTGAAACGACCAGCCTGGAGCGTGGATGCCACGCTGATTTCAACGACCAGCTTGGCGCTTGGATGCCACGCGGCTGTGCATTCAGGTCGAAAACGGTAGGGACCTAAACGGCTAGCTTGATGCTTGGATGCCACGTGGCTGTGCAATGCTGCGCATTTACATTTCAGCCGTTGATGATTTGAACGACCAGTTTGACGTTCGGATGCGACGCGGTTGTGCATTCACGTTGAAGCCGGTGCTGATTGAATCGACCAGCCTGGCGCTTGGATGCTATGCGGCTGCTGTGCAGTCACATTGAGGCCGGTGCTGATTTAAACGACCAGCCTGGCGCTTGGATGCCCCGCGGTTGTGCATTCATGTGGAAGCCGGTGCTGACTTCAACGTCAAAAAAAAACTTCAACGTCCAGCCTGACGCTTGGATGCGACGCGGCTGTGCATTCACGTCAAGGAAACGACCAGCTTGACGCTTGGATTCCACCGCCTTGCAGCTGTCATGTTGCAGCCGGTATTGATGTGAGCGGCCTTAATGCCGGATGCCACGTCTTGTGCATTTACGTTGAAGACGGTATAGACGGTATATTGGTTGAAGCGACCAGCTTCAAGCCGGCATGCCACGGGGCGGTCCGGCCATGCTTCATTGCCTAGCGGGTCCCGATTCAAACAACTAGTTTTTTTTTTTTTAAACGCCTCTTTTGCACCTGCATGGTTTGGGTTCCTGCTGCATGCCTTGTGCGCGGAGCAGCTGTCTACACTACGACACTTCATCCCTACTGGCCGCGAAGCGGCAGACGGCTCGGCCCCGCCACGCGAGGTCCAGCACTCGGTCCAGGCACGCGGCCGATGGTTGGCTCGCGTGGAGCGGTGCGGGCCAAGGTGACCCAAGCGCTGTGCTTGTGACGGCCTGTTGGACCGACACACGACGAGCTGTTGCGGGCCGCCGGCGCTCAGCTCCGGGTAGGCGGCTCGCTTGCGGCGCTCCGCGACGCGCAAGGCTGCACCGTCATGCTCAGCTGCACAAGGCTGCGGCAAGCCCGTGCGCGACAGCGGCGAAACCAGCGTCAGAGCCCCGCCAAAAGGCGTCGCGCCGTGTAGACGAGGTCCAGGCGGCGCCGGTCGTCGGAGCGGACGTTGGGTGCGGTTGTGTGCGCTAGCCGCTGCTGGGGGACCACTTGTCCGTCCGGGCCGACGGCTTCCGGAGCCACACGCACCCATGCCCGCTCTTGCCCTGCGAGCCAATGGACGGGTGCGAGGGCAGGCCAAGGCATGGTCGCCGTAAGCATCCACCTCGCCTCCGCACCCGGGGGGGCCACAACGGTTGGCACAGAGGAGCAAGGGGAGGCGCAGGCGACGGCGCAGTGCCAGCAGCATCGCTTGGGGTGGAAGCGTGTTGGCCGGCTCACTGGGTATGGCACTCAACCAAGCCCCTGCATGTGGGCCAGCCTGCGACCGGAGAAGGGCTCCAGCGGAGGGCGACAGGGAAGGCAGCAGCGTGCGCTCGCGGAAGTAAAGGTTGCGAATACGCGATGCACTGTGCTGCCATCCATGTGGCCAGTCGCCTAAGCCTTGGTCGGTGGAGCGGGGTGGTCGGGCACCCGCAACGATTGCTTCCCAAGTAGGGCACTCGCGCCAACCTTCCGCCTGTAACAGGTGGCGGGCCTCAGCTGCGCTCCTGAGGCTCGGCGCGCGGCCTATTGCAGTTGCGAGCAGACGCGTGCACGCTTCCGCGAACGCTGGCAAGCGCGCTTGCAGAACAGGCAACGCGTCAGCCCACGCGGCCCAGTATGCAGCAGAGCAGCAGAAGTCAAGCCAAGGCCTCCGAGGGCACCCGGTAACATTGCGATGCTTTTTGCGCCTTCAACAGCTGCCGGGGCGATGTCTCCGAGGCAGAGTTGCAGAGTCTCCCAGATGGCATCGTCATGTGCCTGGGCGTAAGTCGCCACGGCATGCGGGGGGACGGTCCGCAGCGCATGATTAGCTCGCGGTGCTGCACACATCGCAAGGAGCAGCCATGCGCATTGCAAGTCAGGGAGCTGGGGCCGCTGGGGCAGTTGGTGCAGGAACTCCCGTTCCGTCCGCACCCGTTGCTGAGCCCACGCGGTCACGAACTCTGGGTGGCCGACAGGGGTGCCCAGCACTAAAAGCCCGCGCTCGGCGAGTGGCTTGTCCCCACGCCAAACGTCCGCTCCCAGCGCAGCTATGCCCGGAGGGGGCCTGCTGTACACGCGCGTCTTCCCGTCGTTGGAAGCAATGCCACATTCGGCTTGAACGACCTCGACTACTGTGTCGCGGGCGGCTCGTGCTCGCGGGCGGCTCGTGCTCGCTCGCGCGTAGTGAGGACGTACAAATCGTCGAGGAATGCCAACAAGGTGTCGGAGGAGTGGAGGGCAGAGGCCGCTTTCCGCAAGGTTTCGTGCTGTCCCAGAGAGTAGAGCGCAGGGGCTAGCGGGTCGCCCTGCTCACACCCTTCTCCTTGAGCGATGTTCCGGCACCTGCCTTGGGCATCCCACCAGCAGTAAGTGGACGGTCCCCCGTAAAAAAGCCGCACGAAAGGGAGTTGTTTGAAGTGTATAGTATGCTATAGTAGGTATTGCGTATAGTAGAAACGGTAAGGTATATAACGTACAATACATAATGTAACATCTTCACTACGTATACACACTACTCACTTTGCAGAGTATACGATATGTAGTCTTGTAAATATAGGAATGTGCAATAAGCCCCCCACACACACATATACATGTATTGTATACATACATAAATATATACGCACAACATGCATCATGATGTCACACAAAACAACATAATTCAGGCTGCCCAAGTGAAAATGTTGCAATGGCACGTTTTTGACGCAGGTAGGCAAGCTTCACAAGTGATTCGTCCCCAACCCTGCCCACGCTCTTTCGGAAGCTGCTTTAAGCATTCTTGGATATTCTTGGCGTCCTGAGCTTGCAGGTGGACATCATCGATTCCTTCGGCAAGGTAGCTGCAGTACTTGGATCTCGTGCCTGTCAGGCAGCCTGGAACCGTGGACTATCACGGGTGTTACCGAAATGGAAGTGGTGCGAGGTGTGCCGAAATCATCCTGCACACGTCGAGGTTGAGCAACTTTGAGCACTAGCGGCTGTTGTAACATCTCGTATACTTCCCGGGTAAGTCGAGCGCAGTTGCCTTCTACGAGCACAAGATGTTGCAGCGCAATGCTTGCACGTTTGCAGGGGGGGCGCTGTGATCGGGTGATGGAGGTGCCACGCACAGAGCTTGCGAGGTGCCTTCATTCCTTTGTCGCCACATCACGAGGCTTTCCGAACATGAGCGGCTGCCTTAATAGCAGGATCCCAGCACTCAATCTCTCTATCCGGGACGGTAATTTTCGGAAACCTTCGGCATGTTCTCGTGAGATGGAAACTGGTGCACCTTTCCAGCACGAGGCGGCGCGGTTGGCTTACGTCTCAACAAGGCTACTCGCTGGCCAGCTCCTCGGTTTCTGGCACTTCGCTAAGCGTTATCTGTGGCATGCCTGAAGGCTGAAGTCGACAAGTACCACGAAAGTAGTCTGGGATAGCACGGCGGCACCGCGGGAATCACATCCCGTTGGCGCCGTAGTGACGTAGACTGTGCTCCCAGAGCATCCTCGAGCCAATCATGAAGATGTGAACCTGGATAGTATTTGTTGAAGATACGATCATGTGGGCGTGCATCCTGCTTTGTGTTTCACCTGACGCCTTGCAAGAGTTGAAGGATGACGCGCAGCTGATAGCATCTGAAGATGCAAATGATCTGGAAACGCACATCATGGCAAAGGCGCTTTTGGTTACACAATGTTTGCCCAAGCCATCTCCAGCCTGTCAGTACTCGGATCGACTTCCTATGAGACTGCGCTTCATGAAGCCAAGCCCGAGCACAAACGCTCCTTGTGGCTTTGCTCGAAGATCCACGCCCTTTACAGGACTGATGATAAGTAGTGTCACGAAAGTAGATTGGCATTGTTGCAAGAAGAAGGTTTGCGAATCCAGTTAGTTGCCCATGAAGCAATGTCGTCATCAACGCAGTTCGCAGCCGGAGTCTTGGAGTGCCTCCTTGGGGTCGTGAAGTAAAACGCAAAGAGACAGACTGACCGGAGTGCCAGAGAGCGACTTGCAGCAACTTGCACTTGCATTCCAGGTCCGCTTTCCTTCTTGTCAGTCTTGCAGGCTGCCATGCAGATGCTGCCCCAACGGCACAAAGGCTCGATTTGCGGGCAGCTACATGTTCTGGCAGCCGCTGGGAAGAGTCGTGCAAGCTTGCATGCGGGAGGTGGAGATGACACTGGCCAGGCAAGCCCGGCAAGAGTAAGTATACTTACGACTTTCGCAAATGAAGGCGTTGCACGCCACACTTCCAGCTCTATCAATGGAAGCAATGGAACAAGGATCCTGAAGGCCCTTGCTTCTTCTGTGTTTTTTTGCATCGCTTCCTGAAACATCCCTCTTCCATCCTTGAGAAGGGAGTTTCCGAAAATTAGGGGTACCTCATTTTGGGGTCCTTATAATAAGGATCCTACTATTTAGGGTAGTGTCTTAGGGTCCCCTATTTTCGGAAACTCCCAGAGCCCTTGGCTGTTTTTTTGGATCAACAGGAGGTCATGGAGATCGAATCTCGGCCCATGTTCGGCATTGTTCGGCATGGTTCTTGGTGGCTTGGCCGTAGCCTCAGGGTGAGTGCTGGCATGCGCATGACATGCACCATGCTCAGCGGATCCGCGCGCGGCATGCTTGGCGAACTCAGGTCGCCATTTGTGCAGTCATCTCTTTTTGGCAGTGCTTCAAGTGGTCCGCGGCTTGTGCCTGTGCCATCAGGTGCCACCTTCCGTGATGCATGTCTTATGCCGAGGCTGATAGGGCCAAAGCGAACACCGGGCACCTCTGCTGACAGAAGGGGACCGGCTCTGGCAATGAGACTTTCGCTTCCTTGTTGCGACGGAACCACGTCAGACATTTGGCTCCTGTTCTGTAGCGCGGCGCAGGTGATTCGAAAGCTATTTTCAGAAAGGAGCCGGATGAAAAGAGTGCAGCATGTGTTGCATGCCCACGACGGCATGGATCAATGGGTTCCATGACAATTGCCTCGAGCGGAAATGTTGGTTCAGACCTGCGGTGCTGATAGCTTTCCCTGTTTTGAGGGTCTGGGCTGGTTGGGCTCTCGGAAACTCGAGACTGGGCCCTGGCACTCAACGCGACACAAACCTAAAGGCAAATCGATGGAGTAGCGCGCTGCAAGGACAATGCAGGGCAGGTTACGGATACATGAAAGGCACCAACAATCCGTAGCGGAAATCTGGATTCGATTCTAACTGTTGAGGTTTTGGGGTTTGGGGCCAGACAAAGGATGTTGAAACTAAGGAGCGCCGTGCCGTACTGAAGTCAGCATGCTTATGCATCAAGGCGCCTGCTGGCGTCCCAGCTCGTGTTGGATTTTCGTAATATCTCAGATGATCGATTTCTCAGTGACTGAGCATGACAGATGATGCATCCCGCAAGTCTTTCGGAGGACTGGGTGAAGCTCGCCTCGCCATCACCAGAGCCAGAACCTCGAGCACTCCAGCTATCTTCTGGTTGAACAAGCAGTGCAGGGCGATTTATGAAGTCCTTGCGCTTGTGCGGGCTGCAAAAGAGCAAGAGCAGGCATTCGGGCAGGGAGAGATTATGTAGTATCAGCTTTCGGAAATGCCTGGGCCAAGTGACGGGAGGCTTATCTGCACATTGGAGACCTGGAACGGAGCTTGTACCTGACATCGGGCCGAGGCAGCATGCTAAGATGTTGCGAGACTACAACGCAGACTTTGTCCCGACCCTGGGGCTCAACGCAAGTGTCATTTGCTCTGTTCTCCTTGAAAGGCCTGGACATTCGGCTGGTCCGATGCTGAGGCTAGCATGCTGTCAAATCGTTCCGATGCTTGCGGGCGGCGGCATGTATGCAGCTTGTCCTGCAACCTCCCCTCTTCGCCTTTTTGTGCAGTTCCAGAGTCTTTGTCTGCAGCGTCCTGCCAAGGAGACTGGGGTTTGTGGATCTGCTCGAAAGCACGTTGAGTAGCGCCTGGATTGAATTACTCTGCATGTCTGGAAGGCTTCAGCCGCAAGATGTTGTACATTCGACATATTTGCAAAGGATTTAGTGCTGTAACGGGTGAGTCACAGGTGCTCCCCTGTGCTCCGTGCGCTGAATCCTCATATGCTGCATTTGCTGTCGGTACAATTTCTTACAGTACATGTCAGGTTTGACGCGTTTGGTCTCGTGAAGGTTGTGCATGTCAATGGTTGGTCTTTGTCATGTTATTGGCTGCGCTGAATCCCGGACGTGGCGGGCATCCGGGCAAGTGTCTGTTACTGACATACTGACATACCTTTTATGTCCTTTGTTGTTTGTCCCTATCGTTGGCTGCGCTGAATCCTCGAGCTTGCGGGCATCTGGGCAGGCGTTTGTCGATGATATCGTCTTTTGTCATGCTCTATCATGTCATTGGCTACGCTGAATCCTGGAGCTTGCGGGCGTCTGTGCAGGCGATGTATGCACTTGACTGAGCTGCTGTCCTTTGGCCGCAGCCCCATTAGCTCTGAATCCCACACTGTTTTGACCGCTGCTTGTCTGTGAAGTTTCGGACGAGTGTTGGCTTTGCGCTGGAGCCCTTCGGGGATTCGGCGCAATAGGGCCGTACCCCGAAACTCTCTCACAGAAGGCAGCAGTCAACACACCTTGCGGTTGCTTGTTGTTTGGTGTCAGCAGCTGCACATGTTCTGATTTTGACAGTGCATCATCGAGTTCGATCACTCGCTCACTCAATCGCTCACAGGTTTGCCTTTCTGCCTTTGTTTGCTTGTCATTTTCTGCTTGTTCTTGCTTTTGTTTTTCTGTTTTTCCGTTCCTCTGCTTGTCTGCTTAGCTCTTCCGTTCCTCCGCTTTTCTGCTTGTTTCGGCTTTTTTTTCTGCATTCTGCCTGTGTTTGCTTGTATAGTTTCTGCATGTTTCTGCCCGTTTGTCCTTTTGCCTTTCTGCATTCCGCCTGGCTGCTTATTTGCTTTTCAGTTTATCTGCGTGTATGCTTCGCCATCCTGCTCCATTATTCTGTTCTTCCGCGTCAGTTTTTTCCACCCTCATCTTTTCCGGTCTCGTCTTGCTCCGCTTTTCGCCTGTCCGCCCTTCTGGTTTCATGCTGCTCCGAAACACCAAATGAGTACTGAGGCCCACAACGACGACGCCTACTACTAATAATATTACTAATAATAATTCGATTAATGATAATACCAACAA